CTTACCCAAGCAGTCAGCTTTCTAACAAGCTCTTCATCCAGCACGAATTCGGCACCCATTTTCTAATAGTTAGGTAACTATCGCTAATAATCCAAGGGCCTTGCGACATGACAAAGTCATAATCTGCTAAATTATTAAACCTTACCAGGCCACATAATAAGAATAACCAATATCATTCAAGGAGATATCTCCCTTCATACACCATTTCCATCTCAGTTTTTTAATAAACAACTCATAGCTTAACTTCATATCAAACAATTTGATGATTAAGGCATTCTTCCATGGAGATCTAAGCCTTCTTTCTCCTCTTTCGAGATCCTGATAATCGGACAACTTTCATCCTAAGATTCACCCTCATCAGCATCCTCTTCATCAGAGATAAAATCTTCATCAATCATCCGCACTTCCCTCTAGAATCTTGCCTCATTAGAAACACCTTTCGCAGCCTGCGCATATGATGACTGGCCAATGTCACCATTCATACACAGTGATTCATTCACTACCATGTCCGCACTAGCCATTTCCGGTTGCACAGGCATTTCAACCTCCATTTGCGTATCCTTATTCGAGCTTGTGCCCGTTTTAGATTTTTTGTTAGACCTTTGTAGGACATCTATTTCTTCGCTCGAAAGCGCTGGGGACCTTCTTTCACTAGAGAGAATTTTGCTAGGTCTATTAATTTCCACTATGTATGTTGAATGACTTAAACATGAGGTCTAGTGTGCTATGCCGAGAAAAACATTTGACAAAAAGAGGTGCTTAAAAATGAAATATACTGTATTCTTGATCAACATTGCTTCGCCATTAATCAAGCTGTAAAAAAGGCATATTAAAAAGAATTTAACAATAGCACTAAGGAGAAGCAATTGCCAATCCCAATTGAGAGTTTCTTATAAAACAAAGATTAGCAATTGGAGTTATTATATGTATACAAATTGGAAAATTTAACAACAACAAACCAACTTTTGCCCTATTCTCCTAAAATGGACCAACCTTTAAATTTTTCCAAAATAAACCTAAGTTTGCATTTTTTTTTTCCCAAAATGAACCCAACAAGTCACCTTACCTGTTATACAAGGTAAAATTCACATGTCATTAAATCATTGGTCAAGTTTTTTTTTTTTTTTTGATAATTTTTACAAAAAAAAAAGAACAAACACTCTTACACATGCCAGCCACTCCACTTACACTAACTAAGCCTGACCCCCTGCCCCCGCGCCGGCCGACGCTGAGAAACTCCTCCCCCGATCGCCGACTATATCCACACCTTAATAACCTTCACCACCTCTCGCCATCAAAACCACCATCTATCACCAACAATCTCCATCTCCACCTGCCGCATAAACAGAGCAGCACCATCAGCCCACACCTGCCGCACAAACAAAGCAGCACCATCTCTCCTCTTCTCCATCTCTCTCCCCTTCTTTTTTCTTCTGTCTTTTGTTTCCGCCTCCTTCTTCTCCTTCTCTTTCCTCTTCTCCTTCTCCCTCCTCTTCTGTTCTCTTATATTCGCTTTCCTCTTCTCTTTTATTTCTTACCAGCGAGCGTGGTTAATGGTGTTCACGGTGGCGAGTGTAGTTGATGGTGTTTACGGCGGCGAGTCCGGTAAGAGGTCGACTTCTCGCTGATTTCTAGATGTTACTCCCGTTAATTTAGAAATTTTTAGTTTTTAAGGTCAAATTCGACCATGAAAAGTCTAGATCTAGACTTTTCATGGCCGAATTTGGCGTTCTTAAGCCAAATTCAAGATGAAATTCAAAGCCAATTTTGGTCAGATATGTTTTTTCCTATTTTTAATTTTTTTTTTTCTTTTTTTTTTTTGGGGTTGTGGTGTCATGGTGGTTGGTTTGATCGGCTCATAAAAAGCGGTAGTGGGTGCGTGTTAGGGGTTGTAGGCAAATCCGGGTTCATAAATTCAAGGGTAGGTTAGGGTTTGCAGGCAGACCTGGGTTGTTGTGGGGTGTTGGGCAAGTTTGGAGGTGGTCGGATTGGCAACCACTGTCAGGTGGTGGTGCGCTGGTTATAGGAAGAAAATGGTTACAGGTGGTGGCGAGGTTGGGAGAGATAATGTGTGCGTGTTGTGGGGATAAGAGTATGGGATGTGGACAGGGGGTGGAGGTGGGAAGTGATTGAATTGAGGTTTTTTTTAAAAAAAAAATTAGTTAGTGGCGGTGATGGATGATGGTGGTGGTGGAGAATGATCTGTTTCTTTTTTTTTTAAATTAATTTTTAATTATATTGTTAATTTGAAAAAGAGAATTAAAGGTTTTTAATTAAAAAAAAAAGATAATTAAAGGAAAATTAAATAAAAATGATCGGTTGTACAGGTCGGTGGTCATTTGGGTTCATATTGGGAGAAAAAAAATGTAAACTTATGTTTATTTTGGTAAGATTTAAAGTTTGGTCCATATTAGGAGAATGGGGCAAAGGTTGGTTTGTTGTTGTTAAATTTTCCTTACAAATTTACAGTAATTGTGAATGATATTAAAGAATTTAGAGGTGATCAATATCGGCCCAAAATAGGGGTGGGTTTGGGAAAACCTAAAAACGCATTTTTTGTTTAAAACTCGAACCTGGCCTGAAAAGCCTGCTACTTATTTGCGGCTTTGGACCTGAGATATGATGTTAAGGCGCAACTCATCCTGATTTTTTTTATCTTAACACATGTATTACAATTTGGCCATCAAAGACACATATTAAGACGTAGTTTAATGGTTAACATCCTACTAAATAACCTTGAGATCAAGATAAACCTTATATAAATCAAGTTTCTAATATTTTTTTTTTAAATTAATGTGTAATAACATGGAATAATAGCCAGTAAAGGAAGTCTAGGGTATCAAGTGGCATGTAGACTCGATTCGAAACACTTTGGAGTGCCACGTGGCATGTGACTTGATTTGAAACACCTGTATTATATTGGTTAAGATTTTTATTTTAATTTTTACATAATTTTCTTATAAAAAAATGACTTTAATTTTGAAAAAAAATAAAAAATAAAATTTAACCGCTTTCCCATTCCCTTGTCAGCAAATAAACCCCTCCCACACATCCCCTTAGGCCCTCTCCTTTCCAATAACATTAGTACATTACCTAGTCTCCTTCCCCTTTTTGTAGTGCAACTTAGCCCCCTTCTCGTTCTTGAAGCGCCACCTGCTCCCCACTCGAAGGCGATGGTGGGGAATAGGGTTGGTGACGGTGGGGTTGTTAGTTGTTTTTGGCGAAAAGGGGCTATTCTTCGGGTTTCCGACGACGGTGGGATTGTTAATGAGGGTGGGTGGGGGACGCAGTGACGGTGGTAGTTGTTGAGGGGGTGGCTGAGTTTTTGACAGGCTAGGAGGCTGTTGTGATATTTTGGTTTTTTTTTTTCTTTTAAAATAAATTAAAGAAAATTATAAAAAAAAAAAAAAAAAAACATTAACCAATTACAATACGGCACATATCACCGGTTATGACCCGGCCACATTCTTTCTTTGTATGTTAGTCCAAGACTTATTAGTTGTCATTCTTTATTTTTATGTCTGTCCAAGCTTATTAGAAGTAATAAAAAGAGAAAATCTAGATGGGTTTGAAGCACATAGTATAAGCTTATAAAGTTGATACATTTGACCCGATAGTCTCGTGGTAGACTAACGAAAACATAAATTTATAAATTAAAGATGTACTGTACATCAAGAAGCATGCTTTGTATTGTTCGATGTCCTGCAAACTGAAGGCTCTGATCGAACTCGGTGGACTCGAGGGAAATCGTGGACCTGCTGCAGAAGTTGATACAAGCACATACGCAGTTGCTCCTTTACTATATACTTTGTTAATAATTGCAACATTTTTATTTGTATACATGTTAATGCACAATTTTAACTATTAATATTGGTAGTCTTTATATATTATTAAGAAATATAAAACGTTAATTTAATGAAAGTATACCTAAATACTAATTCAAAATTAAAATATTTTACATGACATCCTATGCTTTTTATTTATATATATAAAAACATGTTAGGGTTGGTGAGTGCGTGGCGGAAATAAATTAAAGAGGTAGAGATTGAAAAATAAAGTAATAACGTAAAAAAAAATAGTAAAAGGAATACAATATTTAACTTGAGAATCACGACGACGAGCACCTGAAAAATAATCCATTTTATGAAAATAGGTGAATACAATAACCTTTAAAAGATTGATAATTGGAGGATGATGTAGGTGGATACATGCTTTAAATTTATGCCGAACATTATTTATAGATGAGATATGGAGATGAAAGAAGTGTGTGAAAACTTCTACACACAAGCTCTTTAACACATAAATTTTAAAACCTTCATGACCATTCACTAAATCTTTTTTTTTTCTTCACAATTCTCTATCAATTTCTCAAAGTCATAGATTTTTCTATAAATCTTGAGAAAATAATAAGCTGAGCTTATAAAATTTGGGTCACACTAAAAACAAATCATAATCAAAGTAAGCTAAAGAATAATCAAAGTGTTGCGATTACTATGAAACGAAGGGAGTAAATTCTCTAGCAAATCCTATCAAAATACACCAACACCAATTACACCATGATAGAAAAAGCCTAGCCGAAGAAGCACACCATTAAAGAAATCGAAGCCACAACTATCAATGGAGGTGAAGGGAAAAAACCGGTGTCACGGATCGTACTGGTGTCGAAAAAGGCGCTCATGCAAAGAAGGAATGCCCTCTATGTAAAATCAAAGCCCCGGATATGAAATCGTTGCGAATTCATCAAGATGATAAACACCCAAAAATCCCTTTTGATGAAACTAAGATCAAGAATCTTCATGTTTCAACTTCACCATCTTTAGCTGCTTGCAACTGTTTGCTTTCGTTTGCAACATGTATTTGTGAGCTATTTGGGTTATGTTGCAATGTTGATGTCAAGCATTTGTTCAAATTAAACTGTTTTGCTCATTGTTTAAAATCACACTTCGACATTATTTTTGGGTCGAGTCGGTTTTGTCGGGTCTACAAAAGGTATGTCGAGAATTATGTGATATTGCTCATGTTGAGAAAAAGATGGCAAGAGGAAGAAGCGTAAAAAAAAAAACATATTGTTTGATCTTTCACATAGCTTCACCACTACCTTTACCTGTTAATTCCCAACCGTATAAAAGACTTATTTACAAGACTATAACTGGAGAAGAAGCAATACTCAATCCCAATTCAGAGTTCTTACATAACAAGGATTTGCAATATCGATGTAGTATCTAACAATATAGTAGATACTACTCCATAGATCACATTTTATAGCTTCCAAATGATAGGGATCGAGCCATCGAGCCATAACTAAGCTTCGACTAACACCTAAATAGAAGCCCCACGTGTATGGCTTGACTGATGCACCCATTTCAAGGCTCTGGTAATATCTCTGAAGAGTGTTCTGTTGCTTGGTAGCTATAGATGGAAAGGAAACATAGAAGGCAACGAGAAGGTGAGAACAGAATAAAAAAAATTTAGAAAAAAAGCTTCAAATGCAGAGGGAGATAGGATGTAGGAATCACATTTATATGTCTCAATCAAAATTGAACGTGAAGATTGTTGCTTTATCAGCTCCTTCATTCCAAAATCCGTCTTCCCATCAAGATGGCAGCTCCGAAATTTTCCAGTTGAGCATCTAAAACTGAAGGCGGGAAGTAGGAATATTCAGCTCCAAAATCCGTCTTCCCATCAAGAAGGCAGCTCCGACATTTTCCAGTTGAGTATCTAAAACTGACGGCGGGAAGTAGGAATGTTCAGCTCCAAAATCCGTCTTCCCATCAAGATGGCAGCTGCAAAAATTTTCAGGTGAGTATCTAAGACTGAAGGCGGGAAATAGGAATGTTCAGCTCCAAAATCCGTCTTCCCATCAAGATGGCAGCTCTGAAAATTTTTCAATTGAGTATCTAAAACTGAAGGCGGAAATAGGAATGTTCAGCCACCAGACAGATAGAAGAAAATGATCAATCCAGCATCTTTACTCCTGTGAATAAAAGTGAAAATGGGTGAGACAAGAACTTAGAGCACATCAGGCAACAAAAAAAGGAATACTTAAAGCCATGAAAAAAACTAACAGACCTTATTTGCTGACCAAGTTGCAGAAGCCTAGAAAAATAGTTAAGACCCGAAATTTCCCAAGACATGGTTGTATGTCGAAGATGAAACATTTGTATGGTCAAAGCTATTCATGTCTGTTTCGAATGAGTCATCCTTCTGCTCCTGCTTAGGCCTTAAGAATTTGACATCACTCTCATCAAGTTGCTGTCCTGCATATAAGGATGGAACTGTAGAATGGGATCTATCAGGATTGCAACAACTGGCAATCGAGCAGGGAAACGCTAATGGAGGTGGGAAGGAAAGTTCAGGGATGGCAGGTACCATATTATTGGCATAAGCTGGATGGTTTGTACTCAAACCAAAAGGACCATATGGAGTGGTGTTTGGCAAGGCAGGGAGTTTGATTGGGTAATACGGAGGGGTTCCGGCACCTAGATTGCAAATATATTTTGATCTGAAGATGTCATTACTGCAACCAATATTTGTATTAAAATGAAGGGGAAGATCTTGAGCATGAGGTTCAGGCTTAGGGAGATGAGAATTTCTTGGTAATGCTAGGGATGGCTGGGTACTAGTTGCAGCTGCAGTCAAACTTCCACTGCCTGAATTTGCATGAGCACTGTTTCTAGCAGCTGGCACCTCATGGTTGTGCTTCCCTTCGTACGTCACTAGGATAAACCTCAGACTCCGAGAGGACCTCTCCACATGTTTCCTGACAGTGCATCCAGGAGTTGTACATTTGTAGTAGCTCCTACTCACCAACACAATATTTTCAGTGCATGAAATATTCAGTTCTAGGTATATTGCATCTATTTGCCTCAACAAACTCCATAGAAAATAAATCAGTGGCATAAATCAGTGGCAGAAAGAGATGAGAGTAGAGAGAGGGAGGAAAAAAGGGTCTAGAGGTACCTTGGATTTGGATTTCCCTTGACAACCTTTTGTCCATACTTGCGCCAGCGATACCCATCTTCAAGTATATCTGCGTCGGTCTCTGTCTCGAAAACAACTTTTGGTTCACGGACAGCCCTAGAACCTAAAGTTGTCTCGGCAAAATAGCCATCTTTCTTCCTGACAAGATGCAAAAAAATTTACTATTGTGATATTATATGGAGTTAAAGAGCAAAGCCAAAACAACCAATATTGTACCTTCTTTTCAAGTCGGATCCATTTTCACCTTCGTGCTCAATCAAAAAGCGTCCTTGAGCAGTAGCATCTTCTTCATCATCCTCATGACTAACCATCGCTGATGAAAATTCTGGTGTTCCTGCTGATCCCAGCACACCCATTGGTTTCCCTTGAGTGGTTGAAAGTGGATCAGAAACTTCAGTCAAAGCAGATGTTGGTGATGTCTCCAAGCCATCAATCCTCCAGTCTGACCCGGTAACATCTTTATATCCAGATTGTATACTTCTCCAGACTGGGCCATTGTTAACTTTCATACACAAACCACTGCCATCACCTAGATCTGCTGTCTCATTGAATGGTAATGAGCCCAATGTTGACTTCCGAGAAGGTTGAGGCTTTGGATGATTATGTGCATTCTTATAGATGATCTCTGTAATCTGGCCATCATGAGAGCGTTCAACCTTCTTTTTCACTGGACAGTTTGGATAGGTACACTTATAGTAGCTCCGAGGATATTCACTACCCTTGACCTGTTTCTGTCCATATTTTCTCCAATTGTAACCATCTTCTGCTGTTCTTGAAGTTCCAGGGTGAGAATATATTCCATTCTGGTTTCCATCCAAAGAATCATGGATTCTAGAATCATCTCCCATGGAAGACCCATTTTTATGCAGCATCTGGAAACAGGATACAATGTTTGAGTCACATGACTGAAAATAGACAAGACAAGATTTGAGGTCATTCAAAAAAAAAAAAAAAAAAAAAAAAAAATCAGGGGGTGAGCCAGCAGGCCCAGCATCATGAATACATGATTGATTGTTCCAACTTCTTTACACAACCGCTCAGAAAATGGAGAGTCCAGTGAGGATTGTTTAGAGTTTAGAGATTGGCAGTATTATTAGCTACCAAACCCTGAGTCAAGCAGGTGAAACAAGTGTAGCATTAAGGAACAAATCAGTCAAGCTCATAACTCTCAATACACATTTAGTTACCAAATTATCACTAGTACCAAAAGATCAAAACCACAGATAAAGAAGCTCCTCCCTGTGGTAGGGCAATGGGAGTGGATCCAAGCAGATTTACCTCTGATAAAAGAGAAGATACATCCAATTTGACCCTTACTAAGGTACGCAAGCTAAGGCACTATTATGAATCAATTAACCTACCCCAGTATAATTACATTAATAAATAAAAGAACAATGAATTATTTACCCCATAAGAAAGTAAAATCTCATTACAAAAAGTTAACTAGTAGCACATCAAGTATAATTCTGTCAGGTTTCTATAAAACCCTTCAAAAAAGCATTTTGGTGAATATATACTAAGAAGTTATGATACTTCCCACTTCCGGTCAAACTATAATGAATCACATGATTATACAAAATGCGATGGTTCATAGAATATATGCATATGAAATCATGTTTTGCTGGCAGCAAGCACTCTATTTCCGTACTTTTGCTACAGCGTAGTGATGACTGATGAGTGAATTAACAATTCAGATGCTTTCTACTATGCTACCCTATGCCCCTCGGCTCCTCTCTATCCTCTCTCGAGAAAAAAACAAAGAAGATCAAGACAAATGTATAGCTGATAAGGGAACTCATACAGCAGAGTAACATTAAGAAATCCACTAGTTAGATATGGCATAAGACAGACTAGAAACCATGGTGCTAATTGAGCCACAATAAACATTGCAAGAATACCTGATTATTAACATCATGAAAATCGGACAAAGAAGTAGTTTCAGTATGAGGCTTAAACAAGGCAGAAGAGCTACCATCACTACCCTTGTCTGCATCCACAGATGATGCTGAAATCAACATTTGACCGTCTCCATCAAGAGGGCGTGAAGCAAAACTTCCTGTTGTTGGTGATAACTACAGGATCAAAGAGAAAGGAACTGGCATCATTGCTTGAGCATATTAATATTGTTGATTATATGTAACACAAAAGAAGCGTAAAGTCATATGTAGCTCAATAATTAGAATAATAAATCTCACTCTTTTCTTTTCTTTTTTCACATTAAGAATTGCTTTTAACAGGTGTTACTTCTGTGCATATCAAGTTCTAATATGGTACACCCTTTGCAATTCTAACTCAAACAAATAATTTGCTATCTAAAATTATACCTCTTACATTTTCATCACTTGGTTCTTTTAAGCCACCTCAAAGTACTTAATCAGCATCACATCGAACGATATGGTCAAAACTTATAAGTAACACTTCCCCTATATCTTTCCCTGGCATCAGACAATGTAGTTCTGTCGCATCAATATGCAAGAATATTAAAACTATATGCCGGTAGTATATATCAGACAATGTAGTTCTGTCGCACCGGTATATCTCAGCACTTCCATATATGCAAGTACATAATCATTCTGAATAAAAGTCTTCCTCACACTACAAACCAAATCTTAACAAACATCACATTTAACATGCAGTTCTGTCGCGCCATTATATCAAAGCACTTCCATATATGCAAAGTACATGAATCTTTCTGAATTAAAGTCTTCCTCACACTACAAACCAAATCTTAACAATCATCACATTCAACATGCAGTTCTGTCGCGCCATTATATCTAAGCACTTCCATATATGCAAGTACATGAATCATTCTGAATAAAAGTCTTCCTCACACTAAAAACCAAATCTTAACAAACATCACATTCAATCAATCAATCAACCAACAATTCAGCAATGACAACATCATCCATATACTTGAAGGTAAATAGCCAAGAGAAAACACCTGTGAATTTGGCAGCAACATCGGAGACTCAAGCAATGTCCTCGGACTAATATTGGTTGACACTGTAACATAAGGCGAGCAAGATTCACTCGAATAAGGCCACAAGCTATTAGTCCTAACCCGAGGGGAACAAAGCTTGGAAGCATTTAAACCACGCTTATTCGCCCTCCTCTGAGCTATGCTCACACCAGTCTTAATCACACTAGAATTATCATCAACCCCCATCAAGGAATTCGATCCATTGTCGAATTTCAACGATTTTTCGACTGATGTCTCAAGACCATCATCACACCCAAAACTACCCTCCCCACCATTTAAAAACTCATCAATTGATTTGCATCCACATTTCTCAGGTCCAAAACCTGAGAATATACCCTTAGAACTCATCATTATATCCCTCCATTCCTCTAATTCTTCTTCACTATTTTCCATTAATAACATATTACGTTTCCAGTATCAATAAGTTCAAATTTCCTGCTCCTAAACCAATTCATTTCAATTCCCTTGCTCAAAGATTATCATTTCCTGTTCCCAGATTACCAACAAAATTTAAAAATAAAAAATTAATAAATTAATTATGCTTATTATAGATTTACAGTCAATTAATTACTTTTTGGAGATGAATATTCAGAAAATTACAGCCATTTTCCATCAATATTATTCTCCAGAACCCTGAATTTCATTCATACTTTGAATTACAAAATATAAACTGAAATCATTCGAAAAACCCTATAAATCTTACTGAATTATACCTCACTGAAGCTCCAATTTTCCTCCAAAATTCTTCCTCGAATTTCGTGAAAGATCGGAGATTTGAGTTCATCAATTGTGATTTTCAGAAATTTAAACTTTCATCCAACAATTACAGAAAATATATCACTAGTAATTTATTTTTTTAGAAATCTAATTTTTGAAAATGAAGAAAATTAAACGAAGTAATTGACCACTTATATTAAGTTTTTCGAGCATCGAAATTGATTTTCCGAGTTCCATAGGCCATATAAATAAGGAAATTTTAAAGGGTTTTAGTGTTTTTTTTTTTGTTTTTTTTTTTTTTTTTCTTTCAGTTTTAAGCTAATCGAAAATTAAGCTAAAATGCTTTTTTATTTTTATTTTTCAAAATTTGATGGCGGATTTTTATCGGAAATTTGTCACGCCTTATCATTTGTGTGAAGCTACGCTAATCACACGTGCAATATCATACCTTTTCTCTTTTTTCTTTTTTTTTTTTGAGTAAAACGTGCAATATTCTACTGATATGTTGTAATTTTATTTTCATATATTAATAACGTTTGTTAAAATATTAGTTTGTTAAATTAAAATATTATTTGCACCAAAAAAATAGTTGTATTTAAATCTAAGATAAAAAGATTACCTTACATTGGAGATATTAGTTTCTAAATTTAGCTTAAATAATGATATGAGTTGTTACTAATGTTTATCACAAGCTCTAATTTTTAGCGAATAAGATAACGGCTTCGATTATTATAAATGATTAATTAATTATATATCATGCTATACTGGATATTATTATCACTTTTATTTTAATTGATTATGAAGTACAAGAACATAATAATCATAACAAAATTTGAGTGCTAGGTGGTGATTTAACATATACGGTTTACTATGATTAAGACAAATTTTTATATGAATTATGATGTATGTTTGAGTTACCAAAAGATATACTCCGTAGTTTCAAAACATTTTAGTTATGCTTGTAGAGTCATTAATTACTATGATCAAGGTAAATTTTCATATGAATTATGATGTATGTCCAACTTACCAAAAGATACTTTCAAAACATTTTAGCTATACAAATAGAGTCGTTAATTACTATAAATAAAATAATCAAGGTAAAATTTTATATGAATTATAATTTTTGTAAAAGATACTTCCATAACATTTGGCAATTGCATTTAAAGGACAAAAATTTTTTTTGACAAGATTGAATTACAAAAAAAGGTGTAGATTCCCTTTAGCATCGGATAAGCAAATTTGTTACCTGTGGTCCGTGGATTACTAACTCTGTACTCTTGTTGTACGCCTTGTACCAGTTGTACCCTCCTTTTTATTAGATTGCTTAATGTAATTTACTTGTGTCCTAGTGTTCTAGGTACCAACTAATCATAACTACATTTTTGACGAATATAATCATTGATAGTCTTGACCCGACCCGCTTGATAGTCTTGACCCGACCCGACTAAAAGGGTCGAGTTTGTAAATAAACATGTTTGGGTAGCTCAATAAACACGTTTTTGACCCCAAAGCAACATTTTTGTTCAAAAAAGCCCGTTTTAATTGGAAAAGTTCGACCCAAGTTAATGAGTTTTTGACATGACTTTTTGTACTAAAACCTAACTCAGCCCAACCCACTATTTCATTAATTCTACATGAACCATTATCATAATAGAATTTTCAAAAAAAAATATCATTTGACTTGCTTCAAGCAGAAAAATCATCCACCATTGGCACCCTACATTGTCGAACAAATATAATATCATCAATTCTAGCGAGTACACCCTACATTGTCCAACAAATATAATACAAAACTCGCCACAAGGAAGCTAAATCATTAGCAAAACATGCGTATTTCTAACCTTCTATGCACACCGATTCCGAGTCACCAACAACTTCTTCGATGGTAGGCTCAAAATCGTCTTTGTTTACAGTATAACTTGAGGCAGAAGTCGAACCAACATTGTCCATAAAAGCACTCCTACTCAAAAGAGCGGACTTCCTCTTCCTTCTATATTGCTGCCATTTTCTAAGTGTTTCCGAGAACTCCCTTCCTCTCGCTTTTGGTTTCTCTTCTCTTTCGAGAACCCCTAGTTCTCTTCTTTCTATACGATCAATCCCTCTTAATATCGGGAAAGCCAATAGGTCTCTGAAGAACCAAAGGAGCAGCATAAGCATCACGGCGTAGACGTACATTGAAGTCCACACATAGAAAGTCCATTTCCAATTGTGAACAAACTCTTTCACTCTAGGCAACTTGGAGTGCATTAGGATCTCAGCCTCGTACAATTGAGGTAGGTATAGAGTCCCAGCTCGAGGTATGAGCGTAATCTTGACAGCGTCCGTTCTCAAATGGTTGTCTTCCTTGTACCGCAGCATTTGCACCTTAATTGTCTGAGTCTCGTGTGAGAATCCAAGCAATATAGGGAGACCCAATATGAAGGTGCGCATTAGTCTAATAGGATAGCTATGGAATTGTAGCATTGATGGTTGGCTTGACCGTGCTATAAGTTTCCCGTTAGTTGCCACAACTTCAGCCATTATCTGTTGACAAAGAAGTGATTGACCAGAACCAATAACGGCTATTAGACAATGGATTAATACATACACCCAATTGCTAGATCAGAATCGAATTAAAGCCACACATAAATCTGGGCGAATCAAATGGCTGAGGCTCAAATTATGATGCTATACTCCAATCATTAACTAGCACAATGTATCCATTATCTCAAATCTAGGTGTGTTCTTGTTTCAACAATTTAACTAAGACATGCAATTTCTAACCAAACCAACACAATCTATTAAGTGCTACAAATAACCAATATAACCTAGTTTTGTCATTTTAATTTTACATTTCAGCCTAATCTTTTCCATCTAATTTTGCATTGATATATCAGAATTCAAAATCAATAATGATATAGACAAGATTCAATTCTACTACGGAGTATTAGACTTTAGGTACTATCGTACCACCCTTGAGAATTTACCAACTTAGCTTAGATGTTGGGATCCACATTTCCGCATATACACCCTAACATTTTACCAACTAATCTAACCGACTATAAAAGTAAACGGTACACTACAATCATGAATCTCAAACATAAGTCATTGGCACCCGTATATTTTAGTTCGACTTTCCTACCTAAACTAGCTAATATGAAGTACATTATTTTCAATCTATTAACTATTACTAAAACAAAACATACTGATATTAGCTTTCTCTAAATTTGTACACATGTCGCTTTCTCGTAAAAAAAATTACCGCCTAAATGCTTTAATGACATCATCTTTATTTTTTATTTTTTTTAAAGCTGAACTACTCTACTTTTATTAATTTGAAAACTATTTATGAATTTTGACTAAAAAAATCAAATAGATGCTTCCACAAACTACTATAGAAACTGTCAATGGTTGGAAGCTAAAATAATAATTTTGATGACATTGGTGCTAATTATATAATATATATCTTTTTTTCTTCAGATTTCATTAATATGCATTCCTTAAATAATTTTCTTTTGACTATTTCAATTATTGATTGTAAATAATGTGTTCATATATATTCTTAAATGTAAATTATTTTTATATCTAATTATAATCTTTATATACAATATAATGCAACAAGACATAAATCACAAGAAAGATTAATTCTTAGTAAATAAACCATCAACAAAATTTACCTGAAAATTACCAATACCACGGTTATAATCAGAATCAGGAACCGAAAACAAAACCGAAACATGAAACGTATGACCAACCGGAACACCGCCACCATGTTTACCCATTCTATAACCACCAAACAAAAACACCGCTGAAGGGTTTACATCAGCGTAATCAAAATACAACTTCTCTCTAACCACCAATGGTTGCTCCACCCAAAAATTAACCATCGCCACCCCAATAACCACCGCAACCGCCATTAACAAAGTCAACACCGTCGCTGTGTACAACGCACCAAGCAGCCCATACCCCACTTTTTGAAACAACTGCTGAGATTGAGTATGAATTTGAGCACGAGTCGAACTCCCGTCGAGGGAGTCGGTATTGTTAGCATGAGGGTGTTTGAAGAAGGTGGTTGAGGAGAGAGAAAATGAAGGGTAATGGAAGGTGGTAACGATTGAGGTGAGGGTAGTAGCGATTAAGTCAACTTGGGTTTCGACTAGTTTTGGAAACCAGTTGGTTACTTCTATTATTCTTCCTAATCCTCCTTCTTCCATTGCCATTTTTGTTGCAGGATTTGAGCTTAATTGCAGAGGAGAGAGAAGGAAAGAGGAAAAGTAGAGAGTGATAACTGATAATTAAGGAAGAAGGAGGTGGAGAAGAGCGGTGGTAAGAGGAAAGAAACAGTGAATCATTGACATGTGTCTTTTCTTACACATGGGGGATGGACGTTAGGAATTATGTGTTCCTTCCCACATTTCCAACTTGTTAAGTCTAAGTATGTAAGTCATGCTTATTCCACTCTTAATTGCATAATCTGACCATTTTAATTGAACGAGTCGTGTTTGGGTTAATTTCATGCCGTGTCAATTTCGTGTTTTCTCACAATAATTTCGTATTCGTATCATGTCGGTTTTCGATCGTGTTCTCATATCGTGTCAGAGATTGTCAACTCTAAGTATAGAGCAACGTATCAATTTGAATACGGCATCGGATTTAGTAAGGTCACATTGGGTGTATTTCAAAATTGAATCATAACTCATATCATCATTATTTACAAAGCCTGTTTGGTGTAGTTGACCGGGGATTCACCTAGTAACCTTGACGTTACACGGTTTATTAAATCCTCTCAACTGTGATACATTAGGAGGTGAGGATCTCTTAATACTATTCTTCCTCACTTCATAATGGATCTTTATTAAATGGAAGATGTAGTTTCTTGATAAAATCTGAGTGTCTGCTGTTTTAACTACTTTTACAAATTTTCTGATGCCCCCTTCTGTGTTACTCTGTAGTATCCTTTGTTCCCTTCATTATACCCTATGTTGTAAAAGCAGCTTTCAGAGAGAAATGAACAATTGCAACTCCTGCAAAAGACCTGAATATGGGGGTCTTTTTTACTTGTGGTTTTTATTTCTAACTAATTGTATTTTATCACTGAAAGTAACAGCCAACCTTAATAATTGAGATTTTGGTTGAATTTATTTTTTGTTCAAAGAAAAATATTACAAGTATCATTCCACAACTGCAGTAATCCATAATCAATTATCATCATAATAACCTCATACACAATGGGAAGCTCACTAATCAACAGCAAGAGAATCCAAAAAAATACTGACACCTAATCTGGTCGAACATCTACAGATAAGGGGAAAAAAAATGTATAAAAGCATTGGTTTCAAGTCAAATTACCAGGGTTATTTTTTTACTGGTGTTCTTTGTTATTAAGTTCTTCCGATCCTAGTGCTCTTAAGACTCTCGGTAGCTTAAGATATTCAAACTCTTCAAAATGTCATAATTCATAAGAAATAATCAGCATGGAATCAATGTTCTCATGTTATAAACCAAGGATCATACCAGAGTATCAATCTCTGAAACACGGTGTTGGACACGCCCTCAAAGATACAACACTGTCTATACTACTCTGTATACTACTATGATAACCAATTGTATCAGTGGTAACACTAAAGCTAAAGTTTCTGTACATTTACAATACTATTAAGCTGCATACAGCTATGCAACCCAATCTTTGTCAAAGCAAACACATCAGAGACGTGGATGACAGATCATTGTAAACCGACTGTTAGCTCTCTTCTAAGAACTCGATTCAAAGTTTTAAAGAACTCAATTCACCCAGCAATTAGTTTGATATCCAAGGTCCACAAGCTCAAAGCCTAGAAAACTTGCACTACCTATTCATTTGATAAACTTCTGAAGCAATCCCTTGGACGAGTCACTCAAGTTTTCAGAAGACAACAGATCAACAAATAATGCGAAAGTGTCTGCATCAGCTTCAAACCCCTTGCTTACCATTAGATCACGATAGTACAAAGCCTTTGTGAAGTCATTACTGAGAATATATCCTCCGATAATTATATTATAGGTAATACCATTGGGAAAACAATCATCTTTTGCCATTTTACTCAATAATTGAGTAGCTTCATTCATGAGCCCTTTCTTACAGAAACCTTTTACCAATATATTGTATGTTCTAAAACTAGGCTGCAAACCCTTTATCACAAGATTAGAGAAGAAATTTGCTGCATCTTCAAGCTGCCCGGCCTTACACAAGCTGTCTATAAGGATATTGTAAGTGACAATATCAGGCTTAATACCTGTATCCTCCATATCTTCAAGTAATGCCACTGCCTCATCAAGTTGTGCACTTTTGCACAGGCAATCAAGCAATGAATTATATGTGAAAACATCAGGAGTAACTCCATGAGCTTGCATATCTGTAAACAACTCGCGTGCAAGTGTAAGTCTATTGGTCTTACACAAGCCATCAATAAGAGTGTTATAGGTAACAACATCTGGTGTTATACCTTTCTGAAACATATTTTGTAATATAGTAAGAGCCTTGTCAATGTTTTTGAGTTTGACATATCCTTAGATAATAGAACTAAAACTTACTAGATTAGGCTCACAACCATTTTGGGCCATGATATCAAGTAGCTTTTTTGCATCTCTCATTTGACCACGCAAACAATAACCATCAAGTAAAGCACTGTGATGTCAGGAGCTACACCTTTGTCAGTCATGTGTCTTAAAATTGCTTCCGCTTCCACAACAAGCCCGTCTTTACAAAACATGTCAACCAGCATGTTATAGGTCTTAACATCTGGTCTTTAAAATCTCAGTCAACACACCCTTAGCCTCTTCCCTGAATCCAGAATTGTAGAAGCCTCGAACCAAGGAGGTATAAGTGACAACATCGGGTTGAATGCCCTCGATTTTCATTGCGGAGAACAGATTGATAGCTTGTTGTAATAACCTGTCCTTACAAAGACTATCAATAATTGTGTTGTATATGACAATACCAGGCTTACAATTACCTCGAGACTGCATTTTGGTAAGCAAAGTGAGAGCACTGGCATTGTCGCCGATCCTACAAAGGCCTTTGAAAATAGCACCATATGTAACTATCTCGGGTTGGAAACAAAAGCTTAACAATCTTATTCAACAATTGAGCAGCTTGAGGGAGCTTATAATTAATGATATAACCATTGATTAAGGTGCTAAAGGTATAGTCATTAGGGGGATAACCAAGTTTAAGGGATTTAGCCATGATAGAAAACCCGAAATCAACGCGGCCTAAATGACAGTAGCAATTAGCAAGAATACCTAACGAATGCCTATCGTATCGAATACCCCGTAATTCAAGCTGCCCGACGAGATTAATAATGGTGGAGTGAGGACGAAGGCGTTTCAATTTGGAAATGGCAGTGAATAGCTGAGTGAAAAGGATGACAGAAGGAAGAGGACGCAAAGAGATCAATTGAAGAGGGATAGGGGAAATCTGAGATCGGAAAACCCTAATTTGCAGTGTTCTCTAACAGAAGACGATCATCAATTGGAATAATCCTTTTACTGGAAAAATTTCGGAATTGAAAAGGAAAGAGGGATGAAATTAGGGAAAAAGGTGGGAAATGAGAGGTACCTCCATTAAAACGCAGAGCTTTAATCATCTTCTTAGTCTTTTGTTCTCCAGTGAAGCAGAGTTTAAGGTGTTGCTGCAATTTCTGTAATTTCCCAAACAAGAAAGACGGAAATTGGAGGGTAACAAACTAACAACTGACATCAGTCGGAACTCACGGGAATAAAACGAGGGAGTTTAGTTAATCATGGTGATAATCAAAAATAGTTTATCTAGTGATATTTTTGTAAAAAATCAGCAAAATATCCTAATCGGCATGACATTTTTTGTAACTAAATCAATATTTATAGAATCCATATTTAACAAAAGTTGTTGGATGAATGTGCGATAGAACTAGTTTTAAAGTGATTTGTATTTGTGTTGAATTTTAAATTTCCTAGGAATTGTTTGTAAGTGTCGTTTGACTATCTTTTATTAATGAAATCCTTTTTCTTCTTGTCAAAAAAAAAAAAAAAAAGTAAAAACTTTAGTAAATCACTCCATCTTGAAATCCTATACCCTGATATATTGTACTCGTATACCGTACTTCGTAGTTCATACATACAATATTTGTCTATCAAGTGGACAATCGGCCTACTCAATAGTCATTGTTCTAATTTTCATTAACTGAAAAGTCGTTGGTACAATAAAAGGAACATTTTCAGGTTTATCTCCGAGATTAACATTCATATTTATTTCTAGGAAAATTTGTTAATTACTACCTCCAAAAGGGAGCCTTTGTGAATTACTACCCCTAAAAAAAAGAGTTGTTAATTAATACCCCTAAAACTAATTAATTATGGAAACTACTAACTTTTTTCCTAATCAGCCTACTTAATCTCTTAATGACATCATTATTTGGTCAAATTGCAATTTGTAGCTCTTAACACTTAATAAATTACCTTGCACCACCTCCGGCAGCCCCTTTACCACCTCCGACAGCTCATCCACCACCAAATCCACCCCCTCTTACTCATCCGCCGCAAAATCCACCCCTCCTCTCGTTCCCCCACCGCGAAACCAGCCCTCTTCCATTTCTCCACCACGAAATCCACCTACATCCTACTCGCCCACTGCAATTATTGCCCCTCCCCTTGCCCCAAACCTTAGAACCCATCCCATCCGCTGTCCCTAACCCCGATTACCACCCTTTTTCTTTCCCTAACCCCCCAAAACAGCTCAGCCACGTGACGGAGGTGAGTTTGGCTGTGGAGGAACGGGAGAGGGATGGGTTTCGTGGTGGGGGGGGGGACGGAGAAGTGGTGGAAACTGTGATGGGTTTCACGGTACGGGAGCCGCCGGAGGTGGTAAGGGGGCTGCCGGAGGTGGTGCAATGGTGGTATGGAGGTGGTGAGAGGGTTTAGTTAATTAATCAAGGTTTAAAAGCCACTTATTACAATTTGGTCGAATAATGATGTCATTAAGTGGTTAAGTAGGCTGATTAGGAAAAAAGGTAGTAGTTGCTAGAATTAATCAATTTTAAGAGTAGTAATTAACAACTTTTTTTTTAGCGGTAGTAAGTCACAAATGACTTTTTTTAGAGGTAGTAAGTCAGAAATTCCTTATTTCTTCTCACAATTTGATACATTTATTACAGAATCACTTTATAAAGAAATATTTATTACTTGAAAGATGAAAAAAATAAGAACTAAATTGTTTCTTTATGCTGTAATATGTTTGCAACTTGTACTTTCTGCAATAAAAAGTAGTTATTTGTTACCAAGTGTACCATACGAGTCCATAATGAAATTTTCATTGACTTAGATGTTGAATTAGAAGAGCTCACATTAAATTGGTCTAATTCAAAACTCTGACCATGCAATGTACTATGGCTAATTTAAGGGTCTATTCTATTCATCTTATTTTCACTTATTTCAGGTTTAATAAATTTAGTTAAGTTAATATAAGTTTAGATAAGTTAAGTTCAAATAAGTTCAGTTTAGGAAAAATAAGTTTTGATAAGGGTTACTCTAGTTCAAATTACAACTAAAATAAGTTTTAATAACTTCAGATAAGTTAAGTTTAGATAAGTTCAAATAAGTTAAGTTAAGTTTAGATTAGTTCAGATAAGTGAAAATCATATGAATAAAACATACCCTAAGTGTCATTTTTGTAGTTGGCCAACAATTTTTTTTAATATGCGAAATGACAAGTTAGATTAAACACCAATAAGCTTAAGTTATCCCTTCAACTTACTTTTCATTTCATATGGTATACAAAATATGTACAATTACATCTTAAATACGTGACAAATATTATCTTTCTATAAAATCTATCACATCCCCAACAGTCATAACAAGAGGAGATCGTACGCTAAGAATGAATCTAGAGTTTAAAAAAAAAATGACTTGAGGAAGGTCCTTTTAAGGAGTCGACCTTGTGAGGAATGTCCTTTTATGAAAAAGGTGGCACAAAAGGTCCTTTTATGATGTTTGGGTTGCGTGGAGGGTCCTTTGACCAAACTCCGGCGTTGACTTCCGTTTTCCGGCCAAAAAAAAGTGTGCACGTGACCTCTTAAATCAGATTTTTTTTTTCTTTTTTTTCCCTTTTCCTCCCCTTTCCCTCTTCTTCCACGATTTCCCCTTTTCCCTTTCAATTTCCCTCCCTTATTTCCTTTCAATTTCCTTCACTTGGGAAGCTTAGAAATCATGCAAATTGACTAACAAAATTTTATATTCTTCATAACTACATAACATAGACTAGTCACACACATGCCAAGATTCAAGAAGACAACAATGGAGGGAACTCCATGGGAGGCCTGTAGGGGGCAAGCTAAAAAATGGGAACCTATTATTTTTTGAACCAAATTGCATAAAATTCGCACCAAATTGTTCACAATTCAATATACAATCAAGTGGTGCAAAGAATTTTGAGAATAACTTCACCAAATGAAAACCCCCAAATCGATTTTTTAGATTTCTTCGTGAAATTCGTCCAAAAATTCAATTAATGTGCAAGAAGGACAAGAAATGTTCATAGCATTTGCATTCAAACAAGGAAATCACACGAAAATATAAGGAATGTGAAAAGAAAATGAAAGCAGAGATTGAAAAAAAAATATATGATATTTGCAAAATTTTACTGCTTTGAAGAAGAGGAAAAGGGAAAAAAAGAAAAAAAAAAATCAGATTTAAGAGGTCACGTGCACAACACATGACTTTTTTTTGGCCGGAAAACGGAAGTCAATGCCGGAGTTTGGTCAAAGGACCCTCCGCGCAACCCAAACGTCATAAAAGGACCTTTTGTGCCACCTTTTTCATAAAAGGACATTCCTCACAAGGTCGACTCCTTAAAAGGACCTTCCTCGCAATTTTTCCTTTGTAAAATTGTCGGTAAATTAATACCTAGTAACAAATAAGGGTAATGATCACCTCTAAATAATAGAGTGTACAAAACTTCTCATTACCAAACAATGGGTAATGGAAATAGGTAATTGATCACCTCTAAAAAAACAGAGTGTGTTACCACTGCTCAAAACTACGTAGTACTATATTTCACACCAAACATGTTTCTAATTTGAGAGTTGAGACCAAAGAAATATAATTCATTAAAAAAAAAGAGTACAAAAACTTTCAACAATAATATATGCAAAGTAACCGCCCAAAACTTAGATAAGTTTGTTTGATTGGAAAATAATCTTGACACACCTCTATATGAGAATAGCATAAAAAACAGTATCTCCATAAATCGTAATGAGCGTGCAAAAATCATTTCCCGTTTCGTTCAATAAAAAATAAGCCGAGAAAACCCGAGCTTTAGCATTTTTGGAATAGCACAAGAACAAACCCAAAAGTCCCCACAAAGCCTAAAAAAAACCTGTATTCATTCAGCCAAAGCTACCTAAAAAAGATCGATCCACAGCGTTTCTCTACAGCAACAAGAAGAAGAAGCTGTGAGAAAAAAAAAAGGGTTTTTGAAGGTTTTTGAGAAGAGAGAGATAAACTATGGTGCAGAGAAGACCGAGTAAGGCTGCAGAAGATGCAGAGGACCTCACTCATGTTCCTTTGCAAGCCATTCTTTTGGCTGATAGCTTTGCCACCAAATTCCGCCCTATTACCCTCGAACGCCCCAAGGTAATTTCCCCCTTTTCGAAATTTATGCTGTGTTTGATGTTTTTATGAATTAATTGCATTTTTCATTGATTTTAGTGAATACCCATTAAAATTGAATGTAGAATTAATAATGTTTGTGGGGTTTTTATTGATCAATTTTTGTTGTTGTTGTTGTTGTTGTTGTATTTCACTGTTTTGATTGTAAATTTGTGATTTAGGAGCTGTTTTTTTTCGTTTAATATTGTTCATTAGGTGTGTATTTGCTTTATTGTTGAAGTTACTGAGTTGAAATTAAACTTTAAGCATTTGACCCTATGTCTAAATTTTCCTGTGTGAATTAGACGGGATTTGATCCTAGGTCGGTATCACCACTCGAAACTTTACCAATAGCTGGCAACCACATTTTACCCCATGTCTATGAATTGCTAACTCGAATTGATATTGTGTCTGGAATTTGATTGTGGGTGTAAGTCAACCATAATCAGTAAAATCATGTGATTTTTGTGTTGTAGGGATTATGGATTTGTTGGAATCGCTGCAAATTTAAGTTGAACCTTAAACCTTGATGTAAATGTATACATTATCTTAGGTTTTCCAAGTGACGAATTTGAGTCGTCTGTAGTATTGTATGTGATTATGTGTTCAATGTGGTAAATGAAAAAGTATATTTATGATTTTGTGGTGAACTATTTGCTTTTGTTAAAGGTACTACTACCCCTGGTTGGCATTCCAATGATAGATTATTCCTTGGCATGGCTCGAGTCAGCTGGGGTGGAAGAAGTTTTTGTGTTTTGTTGTGCTCATTCAAAGCAAGTGATCCATCACTTGGCAAAGTCTCAATGGTTGAAGCATCCGAACATGGCAGTGACAACTATTGAGTCACACAATTCGGTCAGTGCTGGAGATGCCATGCGAGTGATATATGAACGCAATGTGGTATGTTTAGATCTTTATTCTTTATGCTGCTTCTCTATGTTGTTTCTTCTCATAGACTCACAACTGTTTTCAAGTGTATGAATGATTTGTACAATCTGTTACAATCCTCTGGAAAAGTTGTCTGTGTTGTCTTATTTCTCTTTTCTAGTCATTGCAGCTGATGTTTGATTCTTGGCAATATTTATTTCCTGATCATACTTTTTTTTTTTGGGTGCGATAAATTTCACCATTTTTTAGGATTTTAGGAGTTAAAACTAGATCAATAAAAGATTTCTTTGTTTTTATTCCCCTCCCCCCCCCTGGTCTCCCCCTTTTTTTCCGCCAATTATCTTCATCTCATTTTTAAGACGATGTGTTTTCTAATTGTATTATATTGTTCCTTCTGCCTTCTACTTTCTCCAGCTCAATTTTTTTGGTTCTCTAACAGTTACTGCCAAGCCGAAGTGCTTGCTCAATTACGCTTTGTTCCTTCATCTGAATGAGTAGGAAGTTGGTAGTTTGTCATTTCTCCTTTGTGTGTGTGCCTTATCCCTTGACCTCTGAACTTTTAGCTTTGCATAATTTGACTAAGTTGCAGGTTGGATTCCAGGTGGGAATCTGTTCTTAACTAGTTACACTGATTTGTTTATTAAAGGTGTATGTAATGTTAAATGGTCTGTCTTTCTATCTCTTGCATAAATTGTAACAAATTCATGTTACATGCTTCTTCTTAGATACATGGAGATTTTGTTCTTGTTACCGGGGACACAATTAGCAACATGTCACTCGCGGAGGCACTTCAGGAACACAAAGACAGGAGAAAGAAAGATAACAATGCTGTAATGACTATGGTCATAAAAAAGTCGAAGCCTTCAGCAATCACCCACCAATCAAGACTTGGTACAGACGAGCTGTTCATGGCAATTAATCCAGATACAAATCAGCTATTGTTTTACGAGGATAGAGCAAACCCTATAACTCTTGAAAAATCATTGTTGACTGATAATTCCTCAGTTTTGTTGCATAATGACATGCAGGTTTGCTCATTAAACTTAAGAGTGATTTTTTAATTAACCTTTACGATATTTTTGACCCCGCTTGTGGATCAATTAGTGCTTAACTGGGGCATCATGTCTTAATATAGTATCTGTAGTTCTTGGTTCGCACCTTCTTGATATCCCTTTTGTATAACCTTTTGATAATTGCCCACAAAAGGAAATCTTGTCTCTGCATTTTGATTTCCATTTCTGTGAACCATGTTGGATGGTTTTTTACTCCACTCAAAAAATTATAAGTTTTACTGCCAAGTTTTACTGCCTGGCAAACAACATGGGGCTGATGAGGCATTGTGAATGGGTTGCTTTGGTATTCCAGTGTGCATTAACAAGGGTGTGATATATCTAACCAACGATCATCAAGTAGGAATCTGTACACATGAAGAATTTATGATCATCTATAAGAGTTTTGACATGATGCTAGTGTATGTCTCACCTTACCTGGATCTTTCTTTCAAGGTCTAACCATGATTTTTGAACATTTCTAATATAGAATTTGGAAATGGCTCATTTATTATGGTGTATCCTTAATTGTATTTTTTACTTTTAGAAGTATATATTCAGCATGAAAAATTTATCTACTGTTGAACCACCTTAGCTACACAGTATCTGTTCACAACTTAGATAACCTGTTTCTTTTTGTAGCTGTTGCTTCTTCTAAAGTTTGTTTATGTTGGTGGAGAGATCCAGTCACCAAAAGCATAGGTAACAACCATTATCCATTTCTAAGAAACCTTGTTCTAAGTAATGACACCTTTTTGCAGGACTGCTACATTGACATATGTGCTCCAGAAGTCCTCAGTCTTTTCACAGATAACTTTGATTATCAGCATCTTCGTCGTGATTTCCTGAAGGGACTACTTGTAGATGAGGTATATTAATCTTTCTATGCATCTCACTTTCAGCTGTTTAAATTGTAGCAGTATTAGAGCTTGTTTCTTGGATGTTTTTCTTGCTGTTTTCTCTTCCATGTTTAACTGGTTCTTTCTCTTTGTTGTACCCCTCTTGTACTTTATAGTATACGTTGAACAAGGATATGATGTTATGGTCTTGCTTTGTGATGTGACTTGTCATGTAGGTTAGATAGGTTATAATGCTGGACTCTGTCTGTGAATTCTTGGGTGGGTTACTCACTTAATCCCATGGTTTAAGAACATTTTGATTTTTAGTTTTTTGTTTCTTGAATATTGAATGAAGTTAGACAAACTGATGTGAATTATATAATGAGCAATTTTTTTAGTTATTATAAGTATATTCAAGAAAATATTTAATTGTTAATATCCAACAATATATGAATAAACCCACAAATAAGGCACATTACTTCAGTTTGTACGTAGTATAAGACAATAGAAAAAGTGATTGCTTATTTTAGTCATGGCGCCAATAAGGCAAGGATGAACATTCAGATCATTGTTTGTGTAAAGTATCCTTTGAGATATCAAAGTATAGCCACCATCACCTATCAGGCAAGCCTGACAAGGATAAACTTTTGGATAATAATCTTCAGACCATCTTTAAATTGGTTTTTAGCTGAAAAGATTAATTTAAGCTTAAATATATATAAATACTAATGCATATAAGTTGACCACTTCATGTCTTTCATCACTGTGAATTGGGTTGTTATCTCTGGAGAAGATTTTTAATGTATAAAGAGGCTTTAGGCTTGGGTTTGTGAGTTTGTCCTCTGAATTGAGTGGTTACATATACTCTTTGTGGGGTTTGGTAGGGAAAAGGAGAAGTTACATTGACGAAATCCTATGATGGCTATCCTGTAAAGCATTTGGCTGGAATGGAATGACCTTATGTCTAAAGGTGTTGGTGCCCCACCTGATTTATTGTGAAAATAAGTAACTTTATTAGTGTCTTTATGGGTCAAGGCGGCTTGGGCTTTCCCAAATTATTCAGTCAATTAGATACTAAGGAATTGGGCTAATATGTAAATATGTGTATACTAGCTTACAACTCTATGTGCTGTAATAATTTTTTTTCACTTTTAAATAGAAATTCAGGTATGCCCCTGCTCAACAGTTTTGTGATTTGAAGAACATGTAAGGGTATTATCATTTTGAGGTGGCTCTTAAGGTTTTTATTTAAATCCAGAATTGCACTTAAAGTGGTTATTTGATTATGAAATTACAGTAACAGGTAATCATTTGAGTGCACCATGGCACACAAGGCAATTGGTTCATAGTCAGGAATGAATTGTAATTGGAAACCCTACATAGCATTGTTTTGGGCATTTTTTTCATAGATACGGTGGCATTTTACAGTCAACAAACAAAAAGTTGAGAAATTTGAACTATCACCTGTTGAACAACTTTTGTCGTTCATGCTTGAAGTTTTCCACGCCCTTTGAACTTAAATATGTTTTCAAATTTTTCGGTCAAAGATTAGGAATTGTAGCTCTTCTGAAAAAAAAAAAAAAAAAAGATTGGTTTTGTGGCATCTTTATTTCCTGCTTGCACTTAATTCTGGTAATGGTTCAACTTGTAGGCTGATTTATTGTGACAAAATATAGCAATGGTCTAAGATAAAATTGTCCTATCTAATTCTGCATAGTTTTATGATCATTTCTTGTTTTCAGATTACCGATTACAAAATTTATACTCATGAAATTCATTCAAATTATGCGGCTAGAGTTGAGAATTTTAGAAGCTATGACACCATTAGCAAAGATATAATGCAAAGATGGACTTATCCCCTGGTACCAGACATCCAATCTTTTGGAAGTTCTGTGATGAAACTTGGAAGACAAGGAATGTACAGTGCATCAGGTAAGGATGAATATCAACTGATCACCTCTAGAAAGTGTACCTGTGTTAAGTTGTCCAGTGATCTTTATTTAAAAGAGTGGTTTTATTTGATCATATCTAAGGTCTAATGGAAATCTCGTTGCTTGCTAGTTCAAGGTTGTGTATGCATGAAAAACATACCCTGCTGTAGGCAGGAGTTTTGTGGAGGTTTGTTTTACCTTTGAGTTTCATATAGTTTGCTATAACTGCGTGGATGGGTCACTAATTTACCTTCTCTCTTATCTTTTTCATATTTGGGATTTTATCTTGATATTTTTTTTTGTTTGGTTTTATTATTTTATTTTTTTGTCAATGCATGCTTGATCACATTTTCCTACTTTTGGTTTGTCATACACTATTTTGTAGATGATATGCCTTCCACTAGAAAAGGATTAGAACAAGCTTAGCTTCCAGTACTGTGTGATGGTGTCATATATTCTCTTATATTTGATCAAGTATAACCAACTCTTTTCCTGGCTGAAGAGTTTTGATTGATTCACTGATTGAAATCCTGTCAAGCATACATTGGGAATTCGGTTGGAAATTTTAACTTCACTTTGCTTTTAATGACTTTTTTTTTTTTTCCTTCCTTCCTGCAAGTAGCTCCTATGTAGTATATCTTAGTTTTATGTCTCAGTCTCATTATGGCGACAGGTGCTTTTGTGATTCATTTACTTAATATAGACCTTTATCTCTCTCCTCTTCCTTGTCTGTATATGCTTTACTCATCATTTGTTCTTTGATTGGGCCATCAGAATAAGATGCTGTTAATTTTTATATTTGCTTCATTATTGTTATTTCACATTCTGGAATTATTTGTATGCTTTTCCAGATATAGGTTTATCGAGTAATGCCCAAATTGGTCCCTTTACCCTCATTGGTAACGGAACCACTATTGGCAGCAACAGTAAAGTTTCAAACTCAATCATTGGAGAAGGTTGCAAGATTGGCTCAAATGTTTCAATAGAAGGCTCGTATATCTGGAATAATGTCACAGTTGAAGATGGCTGTAAACTAAAACATGCAGTTGTATGTGATTGGGTGGTGATGAAGGCTAGAGCTGTTCTGGAACCTGGTGTCATCTTGTCATTTAAGGTACGAAGCATGTTATATTAAAACTTTTTGACTTTTAGGTAGGAACGAGATAATTGTTTAGAGTCATGAGTATCATTAAGAGACTAAGTGGACCCATTTGTTGGGACTATAATGGAAAGGGGAAGATCTTAAAGGAACTGAGGGAGTAAATGTTATAAAATTCAGATATCAGATCAGAATAATTACAATTAAGTGGTGTTTGTATTAGGACATGGCGTTATTTTTAGATTGCTTTCAAGTAGAGTTTAGGTTATGAACATTTTGATTACACAGAGTGATACTAAAATCTTGATATATTGTATACAAACAAGTCTTGCTTGCTTGTGCATGTGTGTGTGTGTGTGAGTGAGAGAGAGAGAGAGAGAGGGGTTGTTGGGGGGAGGGGGGGAGGTATGGTTGTTGTATGCAACTTCACTAAATAAGATATCTGTGCCTATTGACTTATTGAAGTTTTATAGTCTATAGTAAAACTAGTAACTGTGAGAAAGGAATTGTTTTTATAATGCAAGATACTAGAATCTGATGAGAAACTTGTATTCTTAATTAATAACTCTGATGGCGGGAGAAATTGTAGTGATGTTCACTAATAATTAGCATTACTGGATTTCATTTCCTACTAGGGCTTTGTTCTCTTTGCCTGAAATAAGATGTTTTGGTTTGAAATTTCTAAACTCTGGTCTAAATCTTATTGATTTGATGGTCTGATTTGACTAAATTTTGACCTTAATGTACATCAATGTTAAGAGAAAACATTATCATGTGGGATCTCGTAAGATTCTTCTCACCACATATTTTTTTATCATTTAATTTTCATAATTCTTACAAATACGAAATTGTAGATATTTTGGCAATAAATAAATGGAAATAAGTAGATCTGATCTGGTCTGAAATTCTGATTTTGTCTGATTTTAACAAGAAAAAGTATCAAGTAATAAGAATTAGGTGAACAAAGCCTAGGTTGTGCATAGAGCCATAGAGACTGATTCTTGTGCTAATTTTTTTTTAAAATATTATTTTTACTGGGCAAAGGTTGCGTGGGGAACTGGGGGATCTGTAGTATGTTGGCCTAGATATTCATCATGGCTAGTCAACCAACAAATTTGTAAAACACTCTGCATAGAAGGCTATGTTAGTTGGAATTTGTTCTTTGACATTGATTATTCCAATTTTTTTTGTTTTTTGTGCTTGACATTTTCCCTTGTTAACATGATGATATGGAGAAGTGATAGACTGATACACTTATGATCTTATGCTTTATGTGCATCCCTTGTAGAAAATTTGTGAATGATGTCAGGAGATTAGGTAACCTTTTCAAGTTTGATAGATTTTCAGAAATAGTTTGAGGGGAGGAATAAGATTTTTTCTTCATGGTTCTTCTACGAGAAGGGGGGGGGGGTGGGCTATTACTTGGTTGTTGATATAGTTGCTTTCCAGATGTTTAGGAATGTATTTGTTTTATAGAGGCTAATGTGATGTAGTATGCTGCCACTCTAGATAGGTTATCCTCTAGGTCCTCTGGTTGAGAGTCTGCATAAAACTGAAGGCTGGAAGGGAGCTTAATTTATTTTTGGATTTTTTTTAATGGGGTGTAGGCGGGGTCGTACTTGCTTCATCTTATTTGATCAAAATCCCGATGTACTTCTCCCTACAAAATCCCCATGGCTGTAGAGCTTTTAATGAGACATGATTTGTGGCGTGGAGAGTGGATCATTACTAGAGTTGGAGATGCCTGTAACTCGTGAAACCTTGCCAAATAGTATGGACCTCCCAATGGGGTTATGGTTGTTTTATAAGTACCTTGTGTGTTTCTTGATTAAATTACTCAGTGGCGAAAAATGGAATAAGCAATTTATGTCGAAAATTTTGAAGCCTAATTTTCCCACTTTGATATTCCTGTAAGCTAATTAATGAGTTAATGACGCAAAAGGTGCCCAACCTTAAGTCCTGATTTTCAAAGGGATCTATTTAATTGGGAGACTGGTGCTCACAGATTTGTTGGGGGCTGCTTTGTTCCCTTGATTCATCCAGATCATAGAGTGTGGGTAAATGATTCTTGTGGTTGTTTCTTCCACATCCTTTTGATTGGTGCTTGCTGAGTTCCCATGGTACTCATTTTTTTCTCGTGTAGCTATCTTTTGGGTTATATTTCTTAAGCAGGATATTCTTTGACTTGCTTTGGTCTATTAGCCTTTCTTGGTATTGTGCTACAGTTGTTTACTTTTGTTTTTTAATTTTCATCTGGTGTATAGTGTGATAATGTGTTGCTTGATTGATGAATTTTTTTTTTTTTTTTTTTTTGGGGCAATGTGATTGAGGGCTACTTCTCTTTGCTGTTAAGGTCTTTGTATGTGTTTAATTTTTAATTTCCTTAAAAATATGATGAACAGCTTTATCTTTCGTATTTATATTTACATTGTGCCTAGTGTGAAGCACAACATCGTAGACAACTTTTTATGTGTGTGTGTGTGTTTTCCAATTCATTTTTGCTTCATAGCCATCATTATATTTTTTATTTATTTATATGTGTTACATTATCATTTTAGGTTGTTATTGGGGAAGATATTGTAGTTCCTGATTACTCAAAGGTTTCATTGTATGAACAACCAACTTTTCAAGATAGTGATGAAGAGTTAGAATATGCAGACAGCAGCAGTGGAATGGCAGAAATTTCGTGTATGTACCATTGTCTCAATTCTTTTAAATGTTATTTGTACCCTCAATTCACCTCACATACCCGTTCAGGTCATGATCTTCATTTGGAGTATATGATTAATTTTTCCATAAATAGTCGTGTCTGGCATTAATACCCGAGTTCAATTAACATAAGACTCTTTCAGCCTTGGACACACTCACTAAGCATGAAAGGGGAGAGACTGCATCTGGCAATCAAGAGTGCAGATGATACTATAATGGGGGACTGTAGCAGTGTAGCCCACTACCCCCTTCCTCCTCTCTGGGAAATCTACAGGTTTTTGAGATCCACATAGACCACATTTATCTACTGGATGGTCATGTCATCAGTGAGCTACATGTGCTGAGTCCCATGTGTATAATTCTCTCAGTTTTTCTCAAGTCCACCTTTTATTCTCTTGCATCCCTAAGTATGATCTTCACAAGTCACCCCATTAGAGCATCCATCTGTCCTCATAACTTGACTGAACGATCTAACCTCTGCCTTTGTACATCATTCTTACCTTCAACAGAGGTGACAGTCTTCATTTTGTCTCTCCTTGTAAGGTTGCCAATCTGGTGAAGCGTTTTCATCTGTGCTACTATTAACTGAAACTGCTTCCCAATTGATGCCTTTTGAATTTCAAGTAAACCCTTCAAGACCTTTGTCATATATTCAGAGTTGCGCACAAAATTTTAGCTGGTTTCCTTGTGATATTCATGTTCATGTGGTATTCTTAACTTCTTTTTTTTCCCCTTATGCAGCAATTCATGCTTTAACAGGATTGTCAGACGGGGAGTTGGTATCCAAAGCAGCTGAAGCTTCTGAGGTAGGTAGCTTATTAATTATTCAATTTCGTAGATATAAACATCCCTCATATATGTTTTTGTAATGTCTGTGTGCACATGATGGTTACACAGTACACCTGTATTCCTGGGTACGTGATGTCTGATACTGTACTGAGATTGTGGCTCAGATATTTGGAGAGGATGTATGTCTCCAGAATTCCATTTTTTAATTATAAATCCTGGTTGCTGCTGGCCTGAGAATTTGTTAGTTCGAGCATAGCTTTGTCCATCCTGTTTAACTTATGGTTTCTATGTGTGCTGTGAGTGTAGGTTTATGTGTGTCAATGTTAGAGTGGGTAGGTTTATGCGTGTCAATGTTAGAGTGGGTTTTGTTTTAGATTTTAACTAAATATAGAAGCCACATTGACATCCCTTCTTTTATGTACAAGGTTGGTGCCAATGGTGCTGGCTACATCTGGTCAGTGTGCGAAGGACGTGAAGAAGAATGGCGACATTCAGTTGCACCCATACCTGAAGACAGGTTTGCTGAGATCTTGCAAGCTGCAGCAGAAGGCTTGGATCTGCCTCATATAGACAACCCTCAGCACTCTGAAGAGTTGGTGGCACCAAGTGTTGATCCTGAAAATCTTACCGAGGATAACATAGATGAGTTTGAAAAAGAGGTACTTTGTGTATAATAAGACTTAATGACAGTGGTCATTTTATTCTAATCCCATTTGAGTTAAATCTTTTCACCAATTTTTGAAGGTTGAGGCAACTTTCCAAAGAGCTGTGCAAGAAAATATCAAGGATGATAATGTCATATTGGAAGTAAACTCGCTGCGGTAAAGTCTCCCTCAATATTTTTGATCAAAACTAAGAACTTTGTCCTTATCTCCTGAGAAATGTCTAGTAAGAAACTTAGTAACTAAATGAAATATACTCCTGCTTAGGTCTAAACTATTTGGTTGTCCGCTTTCAACACCTTATTTTGACTTTGGATAAGATGCTTGGACTAATTTTGACGTAGATATGTTTCCAATTTGCAGCTTGTCATACAATATGGCTGCTACAGACTGTGCCGGAGCGCTATTCTATTCAGTGATGAAGTTGGCTGTGGAAACACCACATAGTTCCAACAGTGAGTTTTACACCCCTGTCATGTTTGAATGATGATTATATTGTTGTAACATTTTTATCCAGTTGGCTTGCTTTGTTTTCTGATACATTTGGCCATTTAACTTCCGTTTGCTAATAAAAAATAACCACTTAAGAAATATCAGGCTATGCTGCTACTCTTCTGACAGTTTACTCTATTCTGTCCATTCCTTGTGTATGTGTGAAAGATAAGTTGTTTGCTTGCCAGTTGCCACCAGAATCAAGGTTTAACTTCTTTGGTCATTTTGCTTTCCTAAAAGGGGATAAAGCTTTATTTAATTTTTCTGTAGATTTCTTCCAAATCAATTTATTAAACAAGGGTAGACAATTAGACATGTTTTAGGTGTTTGACAATATGTCACTGTGAGGTTGGATTTGTTTATTTAGTCATACGAGTATCAAGCATGAGTTGCCATTGTCAATATGAAGTCTTATTCAAACTAACAATATGACTGTTCCGAAACAAGTTAGTTTATACATACGGCTATTTCACCAAATGCCACTGAGTACTTAAAAAATTCACCAAATACCATCGTGTTTTTCAAAATTCACCAAATGCCACTGAGGTTTAGTACAATATCACCAAATGCCATTTCCGTTAGTTGACCGTCAGTGTCCGTTAGTGGACCGTTAGTTGACCCCACCACTTGCCACGTGTCACCTTTTGATTGGTCCGTTTTTAAAAAAAAATTAATTAAACAAAAACAAAAAAAAAAACAGAACCCCAAACCCCAGCCACCAGCCCAGCCGCCGGTGGTCCCGAAACCCCAGCCACCAGCCTCTACCACCCCGAAACCCCACCCCCATTCTCTCTCACCGCCATTTCTCCGCCGATGCCGGCCCCCCTCCCCTTCCCCTCTTCCCAAATGCACAAAAACGCCATTGAAGCTCACGCATGAAAGCTCGAGGAACATCATTTCTTCAATAAATTTTATTAAACTTGTACCAAAATGTTCACAATTCAACATACAATCTTATAGAGCAAACAATTTTGTGAATTGCTTCACCAAACAAAAAACCCCAATTCAATTTTTTTAGGGTTCTTCACAAAAATTTGACCATAAGAGGAGAGCAAAAAGAATACTATCTTCTTCACAAAAACTTCACCAATAATTGCTTCTTTCATCTCGCCATTCTTGAAGATTATAACTGTGGGAATGCTGATGTTGCCTATGCTCTCAAGAGCAGCAACAAACTCGGGGAAGAAAAACTAGAAGACGGAGGAACCGAGGTGGCCTGACCGTGTTCTGCACTTCTTGATTTGCTGCGAAAACAGGCTGATTGTTTGTTGGGTTGAAAGCTGGATTTGGGTGAATTTCTGGGCAGCAACAGGGCGTGAGTTCAGAGGCTTGGCTTGGGAGTTTTCTGGGCAGCTAGCCAAAAGAAAAATCAGTAGCAGCCGTGAAGAAGCAGAAGGCAGCAGCCACCGAAGAAGAGGTGAGGGTTGCCGGCGGCAGGGGCTTCGGTCTTCGGCGGCAGGGAGGGGTTTAGGGTAGAAGGGGTGGTGGGTGGGGGTTTGGTGGTTTTCTTTTTTTTTTTTTTTTTAATTTTTTGTTTTTTTTTTTCTTTTTTTTTAATTTTTTTTGACCAGTCAGGACTTTTTTTGGTTTTTTTTTTTTTTTTTTAAAACGGACCAATCAGAAGGTGACACGTGGCAAGTGGTGGGGTCAACTAACGGTCCACTAACAGACAACTAACGGAAATGGCATTTGGTGGTATTGTACTAAACCTCAGTGGCATTTGGTGAAATTTGAAAAACACGATGGCATTTGGTGAATTTTTTAAGTACTCAGTGACATTTGGTGAAATTGCCGTTATATATATAAGTAGTATTTTTTTTAAACAAAAAGATGCTTAGGGAGAAGGAAGGGTGTACCAAAATCGCATCCCCCACAAGTTGACACTAGCAACAAGCAAGTTCTACCCGTGAAAATCCTCTAGTTTCCTTTTCAAGTGTTCCACTGATTTGCCTACTGAACTGTCCTCCAATCTTCAGCATGAATGATGTGCAAGCAGGACCAATAATCCAGATCAATTTACCGACCACCATAACATATGACTACTAAATTTTCCTGATAACTACGTCTGGTCATCTACAGCTAATGGATGTTTATTTTTCAGACGAACTCTACAAAAATGTGGCCAAAGTAATCACAACTTGGAAGAAGCTTTTGAAGTACTATCTAGCATCCATAGATGAGGAGGTGAGTATCATTATTTCTGGCACTTGTCAAATTATCACGTATTTTCCATTTTGTAAACTTTTTTCCCAAAAATATATCTTCTATTCTTCTATTTTGCATTTGGGACGTACAGTCATCAATTTTTGTTTAGTCACCATATGATGCAACATTTCGGTCGCTATGCTTGCATAATTGTAATGCTATGAAAATGATCACGTCTGTATGTAACCGGATTTGTTGGAACATAACTGCATAGTACTGCCCCCATCCCACTAAAAAGGCCCTTCTAGAGACTTTTGACATTGAAAATGTGACATGTACACCAATGTGATTGATTTGCCTGGAACTAGGTGGTCATTGTTTGTGGGATGGGTTGCATTCAAGCTTCTTGCTATCGTGATTAATTACTAATTAGTGATTCTAGCTGTTAGCTGTTGTTGGAATCTATTACGGAGTATTATATTTGACTATTGCATTACAGAACAAACCGATTTACATAGTACGTGAGAACTTCTGAAGTGGTATGGGTATCCTAATTTGGTGGAATTTTAATTCATCGTGTGTTTTGAATTTTTTGCAGATTGAAGTGATACTAAAGTTTGAAGAAATTTGTTCCGAGTCCGCAAAGGAACTGTCTCCTTTATTTTCTCAGGTACATCAAATTCTGAACTGGCAATTCTGCTAAATAATACATGCTATGTGCTTTTAGTTTTGTTTGCTTGGTGACGGGTCACCTCCTTAACTATCATGCCAGATTTTACTGATCCACAATCTTTACTTGTGTTTAATTGCAGATTTTGCATTTTCTATATTCGCTTGAAATCATCCAAGAAGAAGCAATACTAGCTTGGGAATCCGAAAAACAAGGAGCAGATGAAGTAGACAGAGTTTTCTTGAAGCAAGCTGAATCATTCATTGAAGTAATAGTTTGTTATGTTTTACTTACAATAAGCCATACAATTTATATATTTTTTTCAACTTAATGTCCAAGGTCCATTGCTGCATTTTTCTCTGAATTTGATTTTTCCATATTGGTGTAGTGGCTAAAAAACGCATCGGAAGAGGAGTCCGAAGAAGAGGAATGAGCTGTACTAAATTTGTTGATAGTACAGCTAACATGGATGACCATGGCATGGGTAAATGCCCATGTGTTTCCTGATCGTCATGGAGTTTCAACTTATAACTCCTGAAGTGGACAAGTACAAATATTATGCTATGACATTCAAACTGTTAACTTCTGGTCAAGGGCCATAGAACGAAGCTGCGGCTCCAGACCGGATGCAAGGGATTTCATGCAAATCATGGGCTAACTTAGACTTTTGAGTCAGTCTGATATTCTCGTTACTTCATATTGCACTTGAGTTTCTCATACGGCTAATTGCTCTTTGTTGGATCTGACCTGAAGCCATGTTTTCCTGATTTTACCATGCTGCTTACCTATTGTACCTTGTGGGGAAGCATGTTAAATTTTGAAGTGGATAACTTAAGTCAGTTGTAATGTTATTTTGCAAGAATATTTTGGAAATAATATAAATACAAGTACATGTTTTCCAATGGTGGCCTTGCTTAGTTGCTTCTTATTGCAAATTCACTGTACACCTGGTGCCGTTAGAGAAAGTCTGTTTCGCAGCCTTCAAGCCAGCTTGTCCATTGTCGTGGACAAATTGTGTATGGCGGAGAGCTGGAGATACTAGCTTCATGGTATTAATGGTGTAATCTCTCAATTTTTTTAGCCAACTTAAGTTTTAAGGGCTCATACTGAATTGGCTCATATAGAGTCATATTAAACTCATAAGATTGACCAGGGAAAATGTGTTTCTAAGTGATCGTTAATTGACATTGAAAGAACTTGGTTGAATGGGAAAAGTTTTTATTTTGTTTTTTTTTCGAGGAATGGCACATTTTCCCAATGTATGCACAAGTTTTCCTCTTTATGCCTCCCTTCTATGTTCCCTTTCTTTTCTCATATTCATCTTAAACCAAATTGAACCTGTCATTTATGCTCCGAGATGCTTAGTTGTGTGTTAGAGAACCAGCTAAACAAAGTTGAAAGATCATGCATATATGCTAAAGAAGGAGAGCCATAAGACATACCAAGTTTCAGATACATAAAATACACTTCATTATTGCAAACTTTGAAAATTGGTACATTATGGGCAGTTTATAGATCCAAATGAAGAAGAAAAAAAAAAACCTGAATTACACTCACAATCAACATATATCAATGACACATATATTACGGAATTGGCATACCATAAGATCAGACAGAAGGTTCACTTCGCGAAATCAGAATTCCATCAGTGTCAGCATAAAGCCATTCACCATCACAGATTCTTGTCCCAGCAATCGTCACTGGAATATGCTTCTCTCCTAAGCCTTTCTTGTTGGCCTTCATAGGGTGAGCAGCCAAAGCTCTGACCCCTATATCACAGCCATTGATTTCATCAACATCCCTGACACACCCATTCACGACTATTCCTGACCATCCATTGTTCTGAGCTTGCTGTACTGGGTTGCCTCCTAGTATTGCACATCGTAAGCTCCCCCCACCATCAACAACAAGAACTCTACCATTGCCTTTCTCCTCAAGAAAATCACGGATTAACACATTGTCCTCGAATACCTTGACAGTGACTACTGGTCCGCTGAACACTTGGCGTCGGCCATATATCTGAAAGATTGGCTGCAGGGCTCGCAATTCACCACTTTGAATAAGATGTGAATTTGCATCACAAACTTCAGCTGTTGCCACCGAAGCCATGTTATTGAAGCACCTGTAGAGGAAATATGCGAAGGATTTACAAGTATTAATTAGTTAGTTACCCAATTTCAAAGTGACAAAATATTGAAAACAAAAACATGGCGAGCAGGAGAAACTTTAGACCTAAAAGGAAGTAAAAAAACCCACATACTAGTGTCATCAAAATCAAAGCTGACCCAATGCCTATATAGAGGCTCTTGCCTAAGGCAGGTAAGGCAGAACTGTATCTTTCATATGAGGCTCTAAAGAGACTGATTCAAGTTCACCCTTAATCCAACTACAATAGGCAAATCCTTGTCATGTTAAAAATTTGTGACCAGGACAAGTTTGAAGCATGAATTGAATTTTATAGGTTTTGTAAAGGAACCTTCTCTCATTCACGAATCACCGATTCATCCTCCTTCAGATATAGAAGAAAAGGTACAAAGAGAGGAGGGAAGAGGGGGGGAAGGAGAAACAAAAAAGGCCAAGGACGAAGCCTAAGTCAGTAAGGTTTGTGGCTAGACCTATATGTCCACTTCTGCAGCCTACAATTTCCTACCTAAATACTTGATAGAAATTTCACCGCCTCATCTAGCAAAACATTCCATGAAAGAAATGTACCTCAAAAGGGTAACTGGGTAATAGGTAAATCTTTTGCTATATTATCTCAGCATTAATCAGAGCTGTACAGAACGTTTCTTCCTTAATTACACAGGTATAGGCCGTATAGCAGAAAGGATAACCAATACTAAGTGATATTCGATCAAACATACTACAAACTCATGAGAGCATTTCAATTAACAAAACATAATCACTATTCCGACTCTTCACCTGATTTTTACTGAAGGGATTAGAATCAAAAACTTAAATTCATTGGTTAAAACTGATCTTTATTATTACCTCTATCTCTAAATGTTGTTCATACATGGACTTTATCTTTTGTGAGACAATCACCATCTAAGTGGAGGATAGAGAGAGATTTTTTTACAGATCATAACTGATCTTTGCCAATTAAAACTGATTTTTTACTTGTAGAAATTAATTATTATTGAAACACAGTTTTTTTTCTTTCAATCATACCTATATATCTACAATTAGTGCTAATCACCAATATAAACACTTATCTACCTTACAATGAATCCATTAATCCAACAAAATTACACCTACAATTAGCAATCTAGGGATTTTTACAGTTTTTATGGGCTATCTTATACCAACTTTTTATTACTAATTTGGATATAAATAACAAAATCATCCCACATTTTTGGACTACTCTCACATATGAAATTTGGGGAACATGAAAATCATTACTAACAGAACAAACTAAAACATATAGGAAAAAAATCAGACAAAAATACTCAGAAATTTTACAGCTATCTGAATACAAACAACGGCATTAATTCCTCTTAAAACAGCCGAAAAAACCCAATAATACCAACTTTCGATTTAATTAGTCACTCAACCATCCAATCACTGAGCAAAATATAGACAGAAAGAACCCCAAAAACATCACATATTTATCAATTAAAGAATTATGATAATGAAACTGAAGAATTCTATGTTAGTATATAATTTTGTGATCGAAAATAATTAAAACAGAAATCAATTAAAGGGGAAAAAAAGAAAAAAAAAAATAAATAAATAACAATAATGGAGCTTAATTAGAATAAATTACCTCCCAAGTGAAAGCCCAAACAATGAGAAGAAGAGGAAGAATGAGAAGAGAGAGAAAGTTTAAAGTTGTGATCTTTCAATCAATCTACTCTTTTTCTTGCTATTTATGATTTTAATGAAATAATTAAATCCATTTCCTAGGACAAATAAAACAATAAAAAATGGGTGTTAGCCTTTTATTACAGTCTTACACTCTTACCCACTAGGCACTGGGCTGCAATGGACATGTCAAACGGGTCGGTTGGGTTATTTTCGATTAATTTTACTTTTAAGATCCGTTAGCAGTTCTAGTTGATAATGAATATACGACATATTATAACATATTCTATTTTTTGGAATTAAAATTTTGTTTTTTTTTTTTTCGAGTTGGAGTCAATTTATCCATCTTTAAGGTCATTTAGGTTGTTTAGATTTAAATAAAAGTTCATATCATAATGTTATGACAATCCTCACAAATTTGATTGGGTCAAGATTTAATAGGCCATAAAAATAAAAAATAAATGGTAAGAAAATTCTTCAGCCAAATCTGTTTAAAAAATGGTACGAGGATGAATAGCTAAGACTAATAACCTCAAAATTGAAGTGACAAGGATATATATACTTTTTTTATTTTTTTGACAAAAGGATATATTAAGAGTTCGTGTGTGCATATTGCATACATTGTTTCACTTTAATTGAAATAAAGTGTTGATTACATTAATATTTATGTGATAAATTTTGTTAAATAAATTACACATTTAAAAAAATAGTATACTCGTAATCTAATATCAAAAGTTGACTTTCATAACAATTTTATTACGATCTTTTGTACACATATATACCGGCCGGTGAGTAATGAAAACTTAAATCAATTTTAAGTGGAATTTAAGTTTTCCAACAGCAAATATTTTAATGAACAACCTGTAAAAAAAAAAAAAAAACGAAGTAAAATTGAATAGAATTGTTATAATTTTAAAAAATATAGATCAAAACTATAGATTACTTGTTATTTACTTCAAAAAATGACAACAAAAAGAAAAACAATAAAAACACAGTTGGTATCAAATAACCTGCAAAATCTCCAAAGTGAAAGATGGGACTTGTTAAACATCGCCCGCGTTTTTCTACATAAAGCCCACATTTTTTAAAAATTTTGACATTATTGCCCTTGTTTTAATTTTTACCGAAAATGAAAATTTTCACTCACCAAAAATGTGGAGCAGGACTGGATCGCCGAGTGAAACCGAAGAGCCCTCAACGTCGGCTAGATGCACCGGAGAGACGCCGTTGACGCCGGAAAAGGAGGTACGAAGCCATCTAAAACCACGAATTGGCGGCTGGCGTCCTGCCGGGACGCCGTGACCGTAGTGGTGGCGCCTAGCCAGGACGCTGCCTCCGTAGGTATGGCGCCTGGCCAGGACGCCGCCACCGTGGCCGTGGCGTCTGGCCAAGACGCCGCCACCATGAAAGCGGCGTCCTGGCCAGGCGCCATCGCCACGGTGGCGGCGTCCTGGCTAGACGCCACCGCCACGGTAGCGGCGTCCTGGCTAGGCGCCACTGCATTTTTTTTTTTTTTTTTTTTTAATTTAATTTAAAATTTGTTTTTTTTTTTTTTTTTTTTTTTGTGTTACAATTTTTTTTCGTTTTTTTTTTGTTTTTTTTTGTTTTGTTTTTAATTGTTTTAAAATGTAATGTAAAATTTTGTGTTTGATTTTTGTGTTTTTGATCGCTATGTTTTTTATGTTTATGTTTTTTTTTTGTTTTTTTTTTTTTGGTTTTTTTTTTTTTATTTAATCTAAAGTTTTGTTTATGTTTTTTATTTTTGTGTTTTGTTTTTTTTTTTTTTTTTTTGAATACTTTTTGTTTATGTTTTTTATTTCTTTGTTTGTTGTTTATATTTTATTATTGTTTTTGCTTTTGTGCTAATGTTGTGTCAAATGTATTAATTTAATCTAATCTTATGTGATTATATTTATATGTTATTGTTGCAGGATTATGGTGGAGACGGAAATGATTATAGTGGGATTTTTGTACACGATGGTCTGTTCGAAGATGCTCAACAAGCGGTTGATTGGGCGAAACATGTTGCAATTAGATCAGGTTTTTGTTTAGTAGTAGCAACTCATAAATCTCAACGGGATGGTAGAATGGATCGCATTTTGAGATGCGACCGTTATCGCAAAAGGGAGGAACGAGATTTCAGTCAAGCGATTCGGTTTGATACAAAGCGGAAAGGTTGTGGGTGTCAGTTCAGAGTAAAGGTTCGACAACAGCAAAGGGGTGACGGTTGGGAAGTGAAGAGTTACGGTAAATGGGGGTATCACAACCATGAGATGATCGCATATGAAGTGGGTCATCGACAGTTAAGTGGCCTAAGTCCTGGTGCGAAACTAATTGTAAAAGAAATGAGTGATGCTCAAGTGAAGCCTGCTAAAATATTAGCATCTGTGTTGGAGAAATTTCCTGAAGACCAGCCAAACCGAAGACACATCTACAAC